TACCATCTCACTCCAGTAAGATTGGCAGCCATTATGAAGTCAAATAACAACAAGTGCTGGCGAGGATGTGGGAAAAAAGGTACACTTGTTCATTGCTGGTGGGACTGCAAATTGGTGCAGCCAATTTGGAAAGCAGTATGGAGATTCCTGGGAAAGCTGGGAATGGATCCACCATTTGACCCAGCTATCGCCCTTCTCGGACTATTCCCTGAGGATCTTAAAAGAGCGTACTACAGGGATACTGCCACATCAATGATCATAGCAGCACAATTCACAATAGCTAGACTGTGGAACCAACCTAGATGCCCTTCAATAAATGAATGGATAAAAAAAAACTGTGGCATCTATACACAATGGAGTATTACACAGCACTAAAAAATGACAAAATCATAGAATTTGCAGGGAAATGGATGGCATTAGAGCAGATTATGCTAAGCGAAGCTAGCCAATCCTTAAAAAACAAATGCCAAATGTCTTCTTTGATATAAAGAGAGCAACTATGAACAGAACACGGAGGAAGAGCATGAGGAAAAGATTAACATTAAACAAAGATGAATGGGGGGAGAGAAAGGGAGAGAGAAGGGAAAGCATATGGAAATGGTAGGAGACCCTCAATATTACACAAAATTACATATAAGAGGTTGTGAGGGGAAAGGGCGGGGGAAACAAGGGAGAGAATTGAACAACAGCAGATGGGTAGAGAGCGAAGATGGGAGGGGAGGGGAGGGGGGATAGTAGGGGATAGGAAAAGTAGCAGAATACAACAGTCACTAATATGCCATTATGTAAAAATGTGAGTGTGTAACCGATGTGATTCTGCAATTTGTATTTGGGGTAAAAATGGGAGTTCATAACCCAATTGAGTCAAATGTATGAAAGATGATATATCATGAGCTTTGTAATGTTTTGAACAACCAATTAAAAAAAAATAAGTACTATAAAAGCCCTCTATCCAACACAAATGATCAAAGTCAAAGACCTCTTCTCCTGGAATTTGTAAATTATACCAGACAATATACATAAGTTTTAGAAGTTTATTTTAAAATTACAGTGCATAAATATACACATTATTTGGGGTATTAAAGGATACAATATGTGCTATTACAGAAAGCATGTGAGTGGCTAAAAAAAAAACCTCAAATTCATCCTAATACCCAGGCACATAAAGGCATATTACATTTTAAAGCTTTTTTTTAAGTATAAGAAAGAAAAGCCAGGTGTTGGGGTGCCTCCTATAAACCCAGCTTCTTGGGAGACTGAGGTAGGAGGATCACAAGTTCAAGGCCAGCCTTCATAACTTAGTGAAGCGTTGTCTCAAAATAATAAAATAAAATAAAAAGGGCTGGGGCTGGGGTTGTGGTTCAGGTATAGAGCACTCGCCTAGCACATGCGAGGCCCTGGGTTCGATCCTCAGCACCACATAAAAATAATAAATAAAAATAAAGGTACTGTGTCCAACTATAACTAAAAAATAAATATCTAAATAAATAAATAAAAAGGGCTGAAGTACTGGGGAAAGAACTCAGTGATACAGATTCCCTGGGTTCAACCTCTAGTATCATAAAAAAAAAAAAAATCTATAAAAATTCAAGGTTAGAAGACAGACAATAAGGGCTGGGGCTATGGCTCAATGGTAGAGTGCTTGACTAGCATGCATGAGGCACAGGATTCAATCCCAGCACCATATAAACAAACTAAATAAACAAAATAAAGGTGTTGTGTCCATCTACAACTAAAAAATAAAAATAAAAAAAAGAAGACGGACAATAAAATAATAACAATAACAACAAAAAAAGTCAAATGTTAAAAATACTTTAGGGGAAAAATATTAATCATGTGTTATGGGTAAAGAGTATGTGTGACATGGAAGATGACTATTATTTTATGTGGGATAGAAAAGGAAAACTACAAAACAGTGGCATTTCAGCAGAGTCTCATTGAAATGATAAAGCAAGACATGCTATCTGAGGCTAAGAGTTCAAATATTGAGAACAAAAACCAAGTTCTTCAAGAAGCATGCTTGTCATGCTCTCTGAATACCAGAGTGGGCAGTGGTGTTAAAGTAGAAAATGAGGAAGCAGAAAGTAAGAGAGAAGGCCAGAGTCATAGACTCCTAATTTTTACAGGCTCCTTCCAAGTCTTGAGAAAAGCACTAAATAATCTGTTCAAATATCCACATACTGACAACATTTGCAAAACCAAGATATTTTAACCACAAATGATTAACAACACTATCACATTACTTTCTGATTTCTCTATCAGATTTCTTCTTGAAGTGAATAGTCACAGGCATTTTGGAACCCAGTTTATTAGTATTTCAAGTGAATAATTTAGTTTATCAATATATATTTATTAATTTGCTTTCCACCTGCTTCTAGGTTTAGAAAATTGATTTCTGGTAGTACATGAAGAGTGATTTCTAGCAATAATCCACCATTCACTGTGCCAATTTACCCTGTCATGACATTAAAGTGAAAGATCAGAGGACACACTAACATACAGACATGCCAACCCCTGGAAATATGTAGATAATGACAAAGAAATAGATTTGAAATGCCCAGAACCAGAAAATAGATTGCCAAAAGCTTTTTCAATCATCAAACATGTAAAGTAGTAACATCTTATCAAGGCCTACTTAAAATGGAAGCTTCTTCCTATTAAGAAAATGAAATAAATATTATTATTATTAATATTATTATTAATATACCAATACTTTATGGGTTTTTTACTAATTGAAATTGAACTACAGGCAATTTTTTAGAATTCCCATGTTTTAGAACTACTACCTAAAACAGAATTGAAGTCTGTGTATTAAGTCACATGGTTTATCTATTTCAAATATGAATAATTTAGAAAACATATTTCATAAATAATGCAAGAGGAAAGACTGGATTATATTTTTTCCTCTCTACAGAAAATGATATCATAAAGTCATCTTATAAAGAAACAAGCAGGTTACAACCAATAAATAATGGAAAAAAGTATTATAGAGATAGACGATTATTTTATAAAATATTTCTGGACTTGTTATGTCTGATATGTATCACCTTTATAAAATTAAAGCTATATAATTCAAATTAAATGTTTAACAGATAGGATAAACAAGGCCCTTGGTTCAATTCCTAACATGTACACACAACTTAGTTAACTTGAAGACAGGCCTGAAGAGACAGACAGAATTAAGCAGAGATGAGAAAGTGGGAAAACGTTAACAGCAATAATAAAATCATGAAAAGGAAAATGCAGTTTGACATACATCTACAAGGAATTCCTGTTAAAATAACTCAATATAGAGCCCAGGAAGAAGCAAGATCAAAGAGAGAATGGATATGAATTTAATTCCAGATCTAATAGTCCTCAGATTGAAGAAGCAAACTAGGTCCTGATCAAACTAAATGAAAATTCTACATCCTAATGAATACAACTTGCCAAGATAAATTCTTCTAAAAGAAATCACAAAAACAATTGAGAGAAAAGACAAAATACCTATAAAGTAAAACCAGACAGAGAACAGATTTCAAAAAGCATCTATGGAGAACAAAAATAAAGCATTATTATATTTAAATTACTAGAATTGTAAAGCCAGAAAGATTATTATTAAATCAACAAAATATTAATCAAATCTCTACAACAAGCCAGACTATGATTAGGTACTTGTAGTATAATGGGAGATAAAATAGAAAAAGTTCCTGACTTCATATAATTTACATTCTTGTTAGATTTCTTTCATGAAGAATAAGACAAAAAAAGAAACACTTTGCTCTCCTGGTGTCTAGAAATGCCCATCTCACTTCAATTAAGAGCTTAGAATACTTAGTTTTCTACAGTATATATTTTAAAATAACGTACTTATAATGTACTCTTTACTTTCCTAATCTATGGTACATGAAACCTCTGAAACTGTATAGAAATTTAAGTGTTTGTCTGTACATGAGCAGTTCTCTATGAAGAATGTCCATCCTGTCATCAAAGTCTTAAAGAGATCGATGACTCAAGAAGATTAGAACCACTTTTCTCTGACCCAGCTCCTCTGAGGTGCTACAGTACCAGTCATCTTTTAGTCCTTTTTATCCATTATTATTTCTACTATAACTTCTCCATCAATGAAATGACTATCTCATGGGCCAGCATCTAGCATAGTAACTACTAACACATGGGTACTGAACAAAAATTATTTACCACTGAAATGAATTGCTAAATATATCTCTGAAATATACTCCCTTATTATAGAATTTTAAAAACTATCTATCCTTAGGTAAATAAATTAGCCCTGCTTAATTGAATTTTTTAATGTTGCCTATCAATTCTATTAAGCAACTTTAAAAGATATTAATGTGAATATGTTCTTAAAATATGAACTTAATGGTAGAATTGAACGATTATATATATATATATATATATATATATATATATATATATATACACACACACACATATACATACATATATTATATATATGTATGTATATCAGAATATCAGACTAGATAATATTAAATAAAGAATATCAGACTAGATAATATTAACTTCATTTCTGTCAACTTAGAAATTTAGAAGCCTAACCAATTATATTATTAAACGTACTCACTCAGTCTTTGGAGATAGTACCATGGTGTTTTAATGTTTAAATAGGTATATCAAAAAATTCATCCTTAAAACATTTTTCCTATAAGAAATGGCAGCAGAGGCGGAATATGAAATTCAACATACAGGGAGAGAACTAGATATACAGTAATGTGAAAATGTAAGCTTAGAGAAAACAGTCATGAAGTGCACAGGACAATGAATCACTTTCCTACTAAAATAAGAGAAAGTTAGTCCTACAGGATAAAAACAAAGCAGATAGTACCAAGGTTCTTTTAAACATTTAAGTTTGTCCTTTAAAATAGAGATGGAAAAATATTCTCAAATTGAATTAGTTTTCCTTTTTTAAGAAAATGTAATTTTTAAAAAATTAAAAAGCATATGGAAAAGTTAGTTTAAAAAAAGAGAGTATTACTTACCAAGTTGGCCATATAAATTGTGAGCAGCCCTCTCCTGAAAATAATTTTAAAAAGAGAGTAAGATTAAACTTCAATTTGATTCAACGGTCATTTTATCATTTTTTTTTCTTAGAAAGGAAGATATTTTATTAGAATTTTAAACAATATTTAAGTGATGAAATAATTCTAACAACAAGGTATTCGCTACTTACAATTCCAATCAATTTCAGTTCTTTTATGTCATGACAAGTGTAAAGAACTGTCAAAGTTCCTTCTAACAGTAAAACCCACAGCTCAAAGCTGTGGGAGGAAATATGACTGAGCCAAAGAACTTCACGTTGACCACATAAGTGATGCACATTGAAACACCACACAATACTTTCCTACAAGTCCAAGCCACTTGTGAACCAATTAATATTAGCATTAAGCTTTAAATAAACTGTTAGGCACAGGACTAAATCAGGCATCATAAAACCCTGTGGTTCCATAGTCAAGTCATACAAATCCCCAAGTCTTTTGCCTCATTTATCTCAACTGTAACAAGTGAGATTCATCCTTGAGACAATCATTTTTTAATAAATCTATCAAAATAATTTTCAGGAGTTGAAAAACATACTGGTATCTTAGAAAAAATGGGTGCATGGTGCCAAACTAAGTTTTTACTGTCTTAATAGTTGGATCTAAATAGTTCTAAATCATTCTACTTAAAGGTTAGAGTACGTTTGTTAAAAGAATTTCTTTTTTTTTTCCATACAGGATTTCAATACATTGTCCAGATTGTACAGCCTGATCTCCAACTCCTGGGTTCAAGCATTCCCCCTTTTTTGACCTGCCAAACAATGGGACTGCAGGTGTAGGCCACCACACCCAGCTTATGCTACAGAATTCTAAACAAATTCATTCTGCCAAAAAGTCAAACCCATAAAAATTCTGAATAAATGAAAATTTATCCTCCAAAACTTCAGAATTCTACTTGTTTTATACATGATTATTTATAACATTCAATGTCATTACACATTACATGAAATCACCTTGGTTTTAATTTCATTGTGAAGTGAAAAATCAGGAATTTAGGAAGGTTTATCAAGCTAAAGCTTCCTAAGGATAAATGAAAGCTATAAACACTCCCTTTACATAAAAGCTGTATATTCATAAAGCTTATTTAATGAAAATTCAGACAGAAATTCAAGCTCTATTTTCTGCTTTTAAACAGTTTATTTAATTTATACAGTGTATAAGGAATGAATGAAATACATCTTATTCACTAGAACGTCTTTAACATACTTTAAGAGTTCAAATAATAAACTCCAAAAATTTCAAAAACTTATTTGGGTTTGAATGTTGAACACTTTCAGTACTCAAAGAATAAAATACTTTAAGCTAGGAGCGGTGGCGTATGCCTCTAATTCCAGTGGCTAGGGAGGCTGAGGCAAGAGGATCTCAAGTTCAAAGCCAGCCTCAGCAACTTAGCAAGGCCCCCCAGCTGTTTAGAGAGACCCTGTCTCTTAACAAAATACAAAAAAAGGGATGGGGATATGGCTCAGTGGTTACCTGCCCCTGGATTCAATACCTGGTATTAAAAAACTTTATATATGAAACCAATACCAATATCAAATTGTTCTCATTTAAATATTCCAGGTCTGCATATTGATATTGTCAATGAAATCTTCTTGTTATCAAATACATATATAATATTGATTGTTCATTATGTAAAATGGCTTACTAGATTTTTAATATTCCCAAAGACACATGGAGGCAATGTGATTTAACTGGACAGTGATAAAGTGAGGTTAGGAAATCAGGGGCTCTAGTTAAATTTATTTCTCTGGCACTCTGTCATCTTGAATTAAAATAAAGGAACAGGACTTTACTGACATTTCTTAAACATGTTTAAAAATAATTTACATGTAATCATCAAAATATAAAATATAACATTAAACTTACTTTAGTTGAAAAGTAAGAATGTACAGGTATCACTGTGCCAAACATGCTAGGGAATCTCCCTCCTCCATTGGTCTTAATGTACCTTAGAAAAACACCAGAATCCTATTGCCACTCCAAATAAGGACTTAAAATTTTATCAGTGGTAAGATGATTTCTCAGGTCACTTTTGTGTCTTGTTTTCTATATGTGGATTAAAATTTTCTTGCTAATTCTGTTCAACTTTGCCAGTTCTTACCAAATTATAAAGCAAAAATATTCCAATATTACTTATTTTTAATAAATTATAAAGAAAAATTAATATCCATAAGTTAAACACATACACAGAAAAAAGTAAAATACTTCACAAGAGATACCTATTTTTATCAAAAGCTGATTATGAATGAAGAAATAAATATTCTTTAGTTATAAATTCCCAAATAAAAATGTTTCTGTTCTTTCAGTGTCATTAACTGATAATATATTTCATTATGAAGAAATACTAAGAATGCATATGATGCTATTTTTAAAAGCAACTGTTCTACTAACTTTTTTTAAATTTTTTATTGTTGGTTGTTCAAAACATTACATAGTTCTTGATATATCATATTTCACACTTTGATTCAAGTGGGTTATGAACTCCCATTTTTACCCCATATACAGATTGCAGAATCACATCAGTTACACATCCATTGATTTACATATTGCCATACTAGTGTCTGTTGTATTCTGCTGCCTAACTTTATTCTATAATACTGAATAGTAATGCAGCTACAGTTTCATCACTAACTTCCATCAACCTGTATATAAAACTTTATCTTTAACCATAGGACAAAGATTGTAGTGCATACCTTTCTATTTCCACAAACCAGCAATAGTAGCTGGCAATGCTAATTGTAGAATTACTAAACATATAACCATCAAAGTATTTCTAGGAAGTCAAGTCTTATAAAACATACAGACAAATATTTTAGACACATACCTGCACAGACTAGAAAGAGGCAAGACCAACTAATGATACTAATTCATTACCAAGCAGAAATGATTATCCTTACTCTATTGAATCAAAGAATCAAAGAAGTTAAGTGGTTTCCTTAAAAATGAATTAATAGCAAACACACAATGGAATTAGGAGTCAATTCATCTGCCTTCAGTTTCAGATTCTATCCCATGAATTGCTTCTCCAGTAGAAAATTTTTATAGTATCAACTTACTTCTTACGTCTGAAACTCACTGACTTATTTAAAATGCTTTCTTCATAGGTTTCTGTGCTTTGAGGATGAATAAAGACTTGACATGCTCTTACCATTGTAAAAAAGCAGAGGATGTATTTTTATTACCTCGTGGCCTATTCTGATCTCAAGTTTCAATTTATCCTTCTCTAAATCACCCCCTTCCCAACCTTGTTCCAACCTGGCAGTTAATACCGCAAGAATGACAGGTCAGTCTCTCTGAAAAGCATGATAGTTTGGATTATAGAGTTACATCCTTTTTGATAGAATTTCCTTGGTACAATGTCTTCATCCCTTATGCCAATGTCAACTTTGTAGTTTTACAATATCAAACAGATTTATTTAATCATTTCTCTAATTATGTTAGGTATCACATGAACCTGAGAAACTAATCACCTAAATCTGAAGGAAACAGTGATGGGAAAGGAAAAGGTACCACTTACAAAAGAGGGGACTAGGATCAAGAAGGACAATAAACTACTTGTTAAACTTCACAGGAGATTTGGATGTACATACACTCCCACTCTACTGAAAATCACTAGGTTGATGAATATGACCAAATAAATACTATTTCTTTAAACCATGGATAAGTCTGTGCGTGCTCTCTCACTAGCTCGCTCGCTCGCTCTCTCTCTCTCTGTCTCTCGGAGGAAAGGAATGAACACCTTAAATTTTCATACAAAACTTTAGTTGAGTATTCATGTTCATATATAGAGGTATTATCTTTAAAAAAACTAGTCAGACTATAAGCATTCCTATAGGAAACATTAAATTTTGTATAACATTTTAATAGTTGAAAATATCCTTATATACTGCTTAAATTCTAAGCATTATCTTCTCACATCATTATCATTTCTAAATTTATGACAATGCTTTTGAAACTTCAATGCAAAAAAAAACTTCAGTGCATATATTCTTTAGCTAACCTCAAAATTTTGAATGACATGTAACACATTTCAAAACTGAGGTCACTGGAGAGTATACTAGGAACAACATAACCCCTAAATTCTAAAAATTTGTATATCCTATATATACATATAAAGTATAATATAGAAATACTTAATATTCTCTAAATTAGGAAAAATTAGAGATTAAAACAAAGACAAAGTGAAAGGTCATAAAAATTGTAATTATATAAAGAAATACTATTTAATCATCACAAAGATCCTTGAAGATAATAGATTTTCATCTGTCAAAATGTTTTAGAAGATTATAAAAATACTTCTTTAAGGAAAAGAAATAAACAAGACAAACTTCCACTCTGAAGCAATAGTACACAATCATGTATAGTACATAACACAGAGTTGGCTTTTTAGAAGTCCTCAAGGTCTTGCCACTTAAACTTGAAGATAACCAAGAATTTATACACTAAATTCATGATTCTTTTATTCACACATTATATGCACTTTAATCATTTGGTCATATAAGTTTAGGAGCTTCAAAGCTACTATCGTGCAATTTAATAACTCAACCACTAAGTATGCTTGAAAGAAATATGCTATTTTTGATATTTTAATACATGTCCAAGTTTCAGCATACAGCAGTTTTTAAATCATCTAAACTAATACTAAATATCAAAGCAAATTCCATAGTAATTCTACAAAACGAAATCCATCAGAACAACTTCTTTCTAAGCCACAAACAAAGCACTTCCTAAAAAAAAGAAAGTGAGGACTAGTCTTAACAGCCCTCCTAGGGATAAACTCCATGTTACCAATGCTTCCTGCTGAGTTACTATGATCACAGTTCTTTGTTACATAAATTTTTTAAGCAACCCTGGAAACAACTTCAAAGCTTTCTCAGAACCCCACAATGATATGATTAAGATTTAAGTAAGCCACCCTCTTACTAGGTGTCAGGAAGCAGCTGGCAAAGCACGTTTAGCTCTGTGAAAAGAGGAAAA